AAAAAGTGAGCTTTTACAAGATTGAATTTCCCTTCTGGGATAAATAAAGTATTTTTCATTTCATTCTTCATTTCAAATGTGCAGTGTAAAAACATTTTGAATTATTTATCTGTTTTTACTATAATGTAAAAATGAACACAATGAAAAATATCCTGTGTGCAAAAAGTAAAAACCAAAACAAAACGTGCATTGTTCAAAATTCACAAAACAAAAATCTGCAAAACTGCACCCAGCAAAGGCACTTCCTGATTCCTATTGAAACGCCGTCCAATCAGCGCCCTTGGCCCCGCCCATCAAGCCCCGAGCCCGCTCATTGGCTGAGCCCGCTGTCCGTCACCGTCGTGACGCAGACCACAGTCATGTGACCGATGTTTTTGTTGCTTCGCTTCCGCGGTCGCTGAGTGTTTTCGCCGCGTCATGTGAATGTCAGGAAGCCGAACTTAGGGACTCAGAGGCTGAAAGCTGCGCACCGACCCTTCCAGAAACCTGCCCCGGGGATCCGAGGACTCCCCACCGCTGCGCACACTCTTCCTGCGGTCGTTTTGAAAGGCTCGGGTGCGGCGGGAGCGATGGCGGACGGGGAACGGTCGCCGCTGCTGTCCGAGCAGCACGACGGGACCAACGGCTTCTCCCCCGGGGGAGGCTCGCATGGATATCTGTCCAAACCGCAGAGTACGTCCGCTGTTCGGTTTGCCACCGCGTTCAGAACGACGCACGTTAATTTACCGGCTTTTGCACGTCGGTTCGTTCTGAGGCTCCGGTAAACAACAGTCAGCTGGTTTCTGTTTGTAAGCTAGCCAGCTGGCTAACGTTAGCTGCACACAGCGGCGTTAACAGACAGCCAGAGGAGATTTAGCCCATAAAGATGTACTTTACATGCATTTAATGTCCTTGACTGAAGCTACTGAACGTTTGTAAGCTGCTGCATCACAGTGATGTCCAGCTGGTGTTTGGACAATGTGCTGCTCGTCCACAGTCACCACATGAACGCTGGACAGGTTATAAAACTGGATTGAGGTCAGTTTGTTTGGTGGTTTACATCATGAGCAGCCGCCCCACGTTTGCTCTGGTTTCTCATTTATTCATGTAATTGCAGCAAATCACATGAGTAGATTTTTAAATTGACAAACAAACAGGTTATTAATGAATTAGTCTTTTATTAAGCAAAAAACCCAAACGTTAGCAGTTTCCAGCCTCGTATTCATGACAGTCTGCTGCTTTTCTGCAATGTAGTTGTGCATTGACTAATTTAATGTTTTTATAAAAATGAATGATTAAAAAATGCCATTTCGGCCTTTGGCAGCATGTGATGGCCACAAATTACAGCTTTCTGATATATTATAGACTGGAGGATTATTAGACAGAAACAAATTCAAAATGCAAATAAAAAGCAATAATTCAGTTTTACAGTCACGTTTCTCTCCGTCTTTTATTGCTCTGTTTATCTGTGCAGTCACTGTCTTCTCCTGTTGTTGCCTCTGAACTCCTCCTATTGCTCCTGACAAGCTTTGGCCTTTGGCAGCGGCACACACAGATAGCGTCACATTAACGGATGTAATCGACTTTCGATGTTTGCTGACCAATATGAGACTCGTCGCTGGTTAACAGGACACACGGCGGAGGTTTATTGTGATTTTTGGATGCCACCCAAACTCTTTATCACCATTACAGCTACTGTAAAACGGACTTTCTGTTTGTGTACGCTCTGATAAAACCGGGCCTCTGAGCACAAACGTAGTGATGTTATGAGCCACCACACCTCACAGCCTCAGTACTCTGACACATGCTGCCTCCTGAACTGTTTATTTAGTGGGTGACACAAGCAAAACTCTAGTCATGTCGCCCTGCGGACAGCAAACAGTGTTGCTTCTTATTTGCTAAACACATTTTTGCTCTTGAACCGTGTCACTTTGAGCAGCTGATCTGTGTCTCGGCGTTACTGAGTCGTTTTCTGCTGGTCGTCCGTCCCCCAGGTTTGGCGCCGTTCCCCAGCTCGGTGGCACCAGGCGAGCCCCCGCCTCCGTACTCGCCACAGGGCAGCCCGGACAGCAGCAGCGCTCCCGTCATCAGCTGCCGAGTCTGTCAGACGGCCATATCCGTGGAGGGGAAGACGCACCAGCATGTGGTGAAGTGCAGCATCTGCAACGAGGCGACGGTGAGTCACGTTCAGACAGTCAATCACAGCGTCTCTAAAATCCAGTTCTGCCTCTCACAGCTCTCTGACGGAGCGACACAATCAGCAAGTAATCCATGAAAGTTCAGTCAGTGTCTGCCTCCTCAGAACATCTGGTTCTGTATCTGCAGCACCTTCATCTACTGACCAGAGTTCTACCTTCAGACTGTGAATGTTCCAGAGGTTCAGGTCCTTGAAGTCCACAGAGGAGGGTCCAGATTGATCACCTTAATGGACTTTTTCCATCATTTCTGAGCCTCAGAACTTCATCAGAACAGCAGATAGACACATGACATTTAGGAGGAAGAACACATCTGGGTTCTGCTAGAACCTGACACCAGATCAGTTCCACATCCATCCAGGTGTCTCCGTCTGTACACTGGACCTGGTTCTGTTCATGTCCTCTGTAACCAGCTCTGAGCATCAGTATTATGGGATGTGTCATAGTTTTAACAGCAGTTTTGTTGCTGCAGCAGTTTAATGACATGATCTGCTGCTGACAGGATTCCTTCTGTCAACGTTTTTTTTTAATACAGTCAGGTACGTTTTGCAGATCTCCATTAAATGAACTAAAGTTATTGTGCCTCCACAGGATTCTGAGGGGGTTAGGTGACAACTTTTTCAGGTTCTAGTCGATTTTTTTGAAGTGGAATGACCCAAAAACTCACTGTTTAACACTTAAAGCATGAAAAAGTCTAAGTCTTTGGTTGCAGTGTTCCACCTGCAGCCACTCCACACAGATGAAGAGTGGCAACTTGTTTTTCTTGAAGAATAAAGTAAAGCGTCCAATAAATCATAATAAAAGCAAAAAAGATTAAATTGTCTGGGTAAAAAAAAAAAAAGTATTAGAAATATCCGATTGTTGTAGCAAGCGTCACATTTCAGCATCGTTCTTGGCTCAGGAAGTCTTTCCATCATCTCATCCTCAAAACGTCTGCCGCTGAGATCAGCCGAACCTCGTTGTGTTTCTGACGCGTCTTCTCTCTTCTGTCGGCAGCCGATAAAGAACGCTCCTGTCGGGAAGAAGTATGTTCGCTGTCCATGTAACTGCCTGCTGATCTGCAAAGTCACGTCGCAGAGGATCGCCTGTCCGAGGCCGTACTGGTGAGGCACAGACAGACAGTGTGGGATTGTTTCCACAGCTCTCAGCGTTGGCTTGTCTTCGCTCCATCTGTGCGCTGATGACGTGGTGTCGCTTTGAAATGACTCCACTGTTAGTCTTTTTATTTCATCTTTGTTTTTGGAGCCATGTCTTTTTGCACAACTGTAGCCATACACGCTGGTCAGCCACATCAGTAGAACCACCAGAACCGCTCTGATGTATTGTGGCAGTCGATCCAGTGGGTCCTGTGGGCTGCAGGGTGGAACTCCATGGATCAGGGGTGTTCCCATGCATCCCACAAATATTTGACTGGATTGGGATTTAGGAATTTGGAGGCTGGGTCAACAGATGGGGTCTCTGTCCTGTTCCTGGTCTGTGTTGAAGTAACTTCCACATGAATGCCTGGACCAGAAGTCTACACAATAAATTATTACAAGATCATCAGTGTTACACACTTGACCTGAGGGCTGAACCACGAAGCCAGTTCAACATATCCAGGCTTCCTTTGTGTAGCCGGCCCGACACAAACCAAAGCTCCAGCAGAGATCACAGGTGTCATGAAGGAGGTTCAGCTTCCTGCTTCAGACTCTGTTCACATTAAAGGAGGCATTAACGCGTGACGTGACTCTTCTTCTGCACTGAATGAATCGATGACGAGCAGCTGCTTCAGTCAGCTCCTTGTTTTAATGGAGAACAATGAGGAACATCACCATGATGCCGCTACTGTAAACGGTGGAGACAGGAATGCTGGTAGAAAGTGTTCAACGTGTTCATAGAGAATATTTAGTGATGCAGCCGCTGGTTTCCAGCTGAC